TGCCCATGTTGTGAATAACTTAAAGATTAAATTTCCTATTTTATGTCCATCATCTTTACTTTTATGCTTATAAAAGGCCATGTAATTGCAATGAAAAATTACACCAAAGTGAAAGAAGAAAACACTTCTTCATTCTCTCTATCTCTTCTTGTTTACATTTTACTGCATTGATTTTATTTTATAACATTACTCAATTATTTAATGTTCTTTTTGTTACATGAATTTTCGTTATAGAAATTAGTGAAGTGGATGATCATTTACTAGAGAACAATAATTATTTTTAAAAAATGTGGATTAATAATATGGAGCGTTTTGGGTCTAATTGGAGGTATATATTTGCGTATATAGATTAAAATATAAGTATATCTTAGCTATTTATTGGTTTAATAGGACCGCGCGAAGCGCGAATAAATTGACTTGTTTTATTAATATGTTCATTTAAATTTTACAATTTACCTTTAGTGATTTGTTTTTATTGTCACAGATATCTCATAATATGTTCAAAATCATAAGTGTTCAAAAAAAATTCTTTCTTAAACTATTTTAAGATAGAAATGTTAAGTGTGTGATTTAAAAATATATGGGAGTGTGTTTGTAACTAAGTGATATTATAAGGTGTTGGAGCATAATTAATCTTAATTTACAAAATACCATAAATAACTTGCTACAATCTATCATAATATATGCTGATTGGGTAAATCCTTATATTACAAGCTTTCGAAATAGACAAACTCTCCCCAATAAATACCGGAACCAAAGAATGGTGGGTTTCCGTTTGGCCATGTCTAGCCATATTATTTTTCAACGGTCAATTAAATTATATTTTGGAATAAATTGAACTTAAATAAATTTAAAACTCATAATAAACAAGTTAAAGAGACACGACTGTTGGACTAGACACAAATTTGTTCCAGTTATTCGGGTTCCTTCGCAAATATAATTTTTTTTCCTCGAAGAAAAAATGAAAAATAAAAATTGTTATTTGTAGTTTGCATGTCTTTAAATTATGTGTTCAGAAAATATTGGAATCGGACTTCATTATTCTTTCAACGGAAAAGGGCCTAAAATGCCCCTTTACTATATGAAATAGAACAGACTAGCCCTCCGTTAAAAGTTGGTTTCTATTCTGCCCTTGCCATCAACAAATGGGCTCGTATATGCCCTCCATCACTAACGGAAAACTCATAAAGCCACGTGGAATATATGTGAGGGCAAGTTAGACCTAGTTCGAATTGTATAGGGGCATATATGAGTTAGTTATAATAGTCATTTCTCAAACACTTCACAACTTCATATCATTTTACTTACACACCTATTTGACAACACCAAATAATTATCACAGCAAGTAAACTAAGTCATAGACACAAACATTCAAATGAACGGCCATGACTTCATTAAATCCTAGTAGCTCAAAGGGATCGAATCATAACAAAAGACAATAAAAGACAACGTCGGAATGTTCTAGTAGTTCAAATGGGTCGAATAGGAGGTGTCATTACGAACTTATTGCCAATTATTTCATGGCATGGACACCCTTAAATGCTAGGAGAAGGTTTTTCAAGTGCCCGAAGCATGAGGTAAGTAAATTTTTTGATGGGTTAATTATTCCGATTTGGTTGTAAATTTATTTTATTTATTTTTGATTTTTAGGATGAAAAATATTCTTATTGGGAATGGCAAGATGAAGAGCTTCCTCCTAGAGTTTCAAATATCATATGCAGTTTAAATAAGGAAAAGGAAGCTCTAATCCGTGAAAAGGAAAAATTGATCTTGAAAATGTTATGATGGTCGTCGATCATGGAGGAATAGAAGCCTTGGAATTGGAAAGAAATGTTCTAATGAAGAAAGTGACCGATTTAGAGTACTCAGTTGTGCTTGATGCTAAATTTCGGAAGAAGATGTGGATTTTCATGTGTGTGATATTGGGATGTCTTGTTATATTCTTTGGATCACTGCGAAATGATATGTAATGTTAGTGTTATTGTGGCTTAATTGTTGTCTTTTATTATGTTATGAAACTTTATGTTTTTATAAAAGGATTTAATAAAGTCATTATTGTCGTTCATTTGTTGTGTCTATGACTATGTTTATTTGCTATGATAATTAGTTTGGTGTTGTCAAATAGGTGTCTAAGTAAACTGATATGGAGTTGTGAAGTGTTTGAGACATAACTATTATAACTGACTCATATATGCCCATGTACAATTTGAACTATGTCTAACTTACTCTCATATATATTCCACGCGGCTTTATGAGTCTTCCGTTAGTGATGGAGGGCATATACGAGCCCATTTGTTGACGGCAAGGGCAGAATAGAGACCAACTTTTAACGGAAGGCTAGCCTGTCCTATTTCATATAGTAAAAGAGCATTTTAGGCCCTTTTCCGTTCTTTCAATGAGACATTCCCAACTCTCATTCTCATATGAAGAATAAATGTTTTACCACCACGGAATGTCGTGGGATGGATACGATTCATCTACCCTTAATTAAATATTTCGAGTTCAGCCTTGAGAATGAAGAAGTTCTTGATAGAGAGTGTTTTCCCTTGAATAAGCTTTACGTGGGAATAGAACCAAACTAGTCTAGATATACTTGGTAGCAATCAGTAGAAGTTGGAATCGTAAGTGTATATGGGTTATAAACATCATATAATATGCTCAGCATATAACAAGAAGCTAAGTTACTGAAAAATTGGAACCACGGGTATGAAGATTCAATTTACCATTCTATGGTTTTATATATTTGGAAGTAAAACAAATGCTATCTCATAGAGAAGGTGCACATAAAACATGGTCATGGAGTAAGAGTAAATCAAATATAAACTACGAACGATTGGAAATAACGCTTAACTACACCCTCTTTGCCGAAAGATAGGAGTATTCAGTGGAACCAATGAACTAAGATGCTCTTAGGTAACTTTAAAATTGCTCTCCATTTTCTAACTCGTGAGATGTCTTTTCAGGATAAAACTTCTTAAACTACGAATGTTGTCAAGATCTAACGCAAAATCAAATGTCTTTCAAGTACATTTCTCAAAAGACAAGTGTTGGAAAGGATGTTTTTTTCAACACACACATATATAACATTTCCTTTGATCACTAAGAAAAATCTATAAATCTACATATTTATATATATAAATATGCATATATAGGAGGTAACATAATGCCTCTTTTCACTTGTTTTGATACTATAAGCTTTTGTTCCACATTGCATTAGCCATGTATTAGAAGCTAATTAAATCTGGTAATTCTTGAGGTTTAACAGGTACGTTATTAATAGAATTAGTAGGTACCAAAGAGGCTTCAAAAGGATTTGTTCTTGGTATATATTTTACTATAGCAGAACAGCCACCATTTTCTTCATCAAATGTCTCCCAACGATCAGTAATTATTGTCCTTAAATTGCTTTTTGAGTCATTTTTTTCTCCAAAATTCTCATGCACCACAATTGCTCTATCCATTTCATCACTCTTTTGTTCTTTATCTGAAACCCCATTGATAATTTCTTCAAGTTCTTTGATATCTTCATTTGAAATTTGCTCTACAATTGGACAAACTTCAGCATTTCTCACCCCTATATCGCGATTAAACTCGAAATATAGAGACAATTCTTCTGCTTGAATAGTTGCCTTTTTAATGATCTTTAGAGCCATAGTAGCTTCAACTTTCCCAAATAAATTTATCCTTGATAAAACTCGAGAAATCCCATTGCGAATCCTGCTATACACGTCGAAAATTTCTGTCATAACACAATCCATAGCTTCAAGAACAAGAGGGACAGTAGCTGAATCCGATAACGGCTTAATTTCAAGTAACACATCAAGCAAAGATTGCAATTTTTGTACCACAACAAGATCTTGAACGATAGAATAACTTTCTTTTTCTTCAACGTCGAGATTATGCATCATAATCATCATGTTGTTATTGCTCCTCTTTTCATGCAATTCCATGCAAAGGAGAGACGATTTCTGATCAAGAAATGCAAAATAAGCGCGAATAAACGCGTTAATCCCATGCATTTCGTGTTTTCTTGAATGACCATCTTCGAAATTTGAAAGATCAAAAGGTAACCTACCAATTCTTTGAACACAAGGAAGCCTAGTGCTATAAAGACCATGCATTAAGATTAAAACTTTAATGGCAACAACCCAACTTCGAGTTTTCTCTATTCGAATCGAGATAGCCCAAATTAAAGGTTTGAGATTACAAGATGATAAACGTAACCAACGAAAAACACGATCGACGTTCTTCATATTCATGGAGAATTCATCGTGGCTTGTGGCTTTAATAACAGCAGCCTCGATGTCTGGATTCCGGAGAGGTGTTCTTCTTGATAAACTAGCAATGAATATGCTATTTTGATCTTTTACCAATCCGGAAACCTTTCTCCATAGCCTCATTCTTTGATTTCCTCTGCTCTGTTTTCCCCTGTTTTTTTGTCTTGTTGTTGATGTTCTTTCTTTTTGGTAGAGCTTTTGCGGTGGTAATCAATTATTCTACATTTTTTTTTGTTTTTTTATTTTACATATTACTCATTTTATCAAATATGTATAGGAGTGGAGGGTTGACCAATGCATGAATTATCTCGCGTTCACGCGGATCGCACCCTAAAGAGTGTGATGTAATACTATTTATATGTTGGGCGATTCACAGTTGTTTGATATTATACAATTTAACCTTGAGAGAAATACTTTTACTTGCTAAAGACACATGGAAACAATAACTTTGATCATTGGCCATACTTATGGGGTGTTAGTGTGTGCCAATTATTAAGGAGTCGCGAATGCTGTAATTTTGTTCTAGAATAGACAAAATCAGCAACACAAAAGACGTAAAATAAAATACATAGATAAGTAAATAAAATAAGACCAAAAAACTTATACAGTCATACCTCTCTATAACAGTATCCTGTTGAGACCAAATACACACGCAAGTATACGTGGTCGTCAAGCAATAAAATAACTCGAAAGTCAGATGTCGAACCCCCAGAGACTTAGATTGATCGTTAATTAAGCAAACTAAAATCAATTAATTGTCCAAGATAATCAAGAGTGATGTTCTTCTATTAGTCTACTATTGCGGAAATTAAACAAATATCAACTAAATAAACAAGAATGCAAATGGGTATTATGAGACTTTAATTCAGAGGAGATGAAGATTCCAGGGTTGTGGTTGGTTTATCAATCCTATTAAGTTCAATAATCACACTCGTTAATCCAGATTATCTATGGTTGCTAATTAACCGGATCGTTTATATGAATAGCATGTTCCCACAATACTATTTGTCTGCCCACAATATATCAACCCTATATTCATATGGTATTGAGTCTATCATGAACAAATATAATACGGTATTTAATTAAGCAAGACTGTTAGGTATATTCCTATTCTAACCGCGAAATCACTGTTAGGTATATTTCTATCCTAACAACAAAATCTTCCCCCGAGCCACGGGTTCAGAAACAGGCTCTCTCTAATTCTACTCTAATCTAAATGTGGCTTTCCCAAGCATAGCATAGATAGTAAATAGAACTCAATTGCTGGCCAGACAATTAAGCAATTATGCACAGAATTAGAGAAACAACCACAAGATGATAATCTGAATTAACGAAGATGTAATTAATAAACGTTAATAATCATGTCAACCACAACCCTAGAAACTAGAGTGCTTAGACACTCATGTTCGTAGCAACAATTTTCCAAGTGTTTTGCATAAACAAACTACAAAGCAAAGATGAAGGAACGAAGAACTCGATGATTTCCTCCTCCCACGAATGCTCCAATCGTCTTCTCTCTTTCAAAATAGTCTCCCTCTGTCTAAGATGTATCAAAAGTCCTCAAAATAGTATTTTTATATGTATTTCTACCAAGTAGGGTCGGGCCTAGACGAAACACCCTTTCCTGTGCGAAATAGGACCCTGGTTCTGTAAAATTTGTACAGGCACGCCGCACCCTGCGCCGCGCTAGTGGAGATTATCAGCAGCCTTGCATTTTCTTGTCAGGCCAGCTTTTACACTGCTGCACCGCACCCTGCGGCGCTCCATGCGGTGCGATAAAAAGAATTTGCAAAAATACAAAACATGAAAGTTGTAGCCCTTTCAAATAGCTTTCCAACGATATATTGTGGAGCCCAAACGGAGTTCTGAGCGAAAGTTATGTGTATTTTACTAGACAATGTTGTATGTCCGCTCGATTCTCTGTTTCGTTCTTAACTATCATCTGTCGATCCCCGAACACGATCCCAGCTTAATTCCTTGGGCTTTTACTCAGACTTCAAAACTCCAAATCTCTTTAAATCATTCCATAACATCTACATAGCTCGGAATCCCTCCTACAAATCATAAAACACATATTTAGTGCAAAACACTCACGATTAAAGCTCAAACTCAATTAAAGTGCAGTAAATTAGAGTGTAATAAGCGACTAAAATATACAATTATAGCCTATCATCAACACCCCACACCTAAACCATTACTTGTCCTCGAGCAATCAAACTACACTTTATATAGACACGACCTTTTTAAAAAATTCTCCTAACTCATCACACCAAGAATATTTAAAATAGACTAAGCACAAGAGTGTAACATCTTCACCTCAAGATTTGACTCACAAGTAACACGCATTATTCACAACTCACCCACTTACTCTAACATAGAGGTCACTGAAATTACCTTTCATTCATGAATCAAGCGCCCTCACACAACAAAAGAGAGTAGTTCCACACACAATATAATTTAAGAACAATTAGGAACTCAAGATAGAAAGAATTCACTCACTCTCAGAAATAACATTTATATGCCACAAAAGATGCACCATAGGCTTGCTCGTAGTGTACTACTATACTAATCGAGCTCATTCGGTCTAGGATAAATTAGGACTTTATTTGGTTGTAATGTAGGCTACGGGTCGGGTAGGATATATTTAGATATAATAGTGACTGCACCTCCCTAAGCACTTTAATACATACACTTTAACATTTAAAACCCCACACTTATGTCAAACCATAACTCCACCGTCACATCAATATATATTAACTCTCCACGTCTTTAAACATAATTACATCAAGAGTCACCACTATCAATTTTTCACAGCAATACAACTATTTTTTTTCTTTTCAAGTGGCTCTTGCTTTTTTTCAAAACACTGCACCTTTCTCCTTATTTCATTAGTTCCACTCAAAAGTCAAACCAACCACCTCGCACTTTAACTTTTACAAAGTTCATAACAATTCAAGTGCTCATGAGAGGTGAAAATGTTCAAATATATGGTTAATTCAAACAAATGGGTAAGACTTGTAATGTGGTTGCCAAAGAAACAGGATTACAGGCTCAAAGGGGTTAACTATGATACGAAACAATTAGGTGGGTAAAATATATATATCTAGCTCAACAAAGAAACGCCTATATCACTTCAAAGACTTATCAAAACTACTATTTCGCTTTGCAAACACACGGGGTAAGTTCTAGACATCAAATGTAATTCACAGAATAACACAAAACCTTACACACACATCGCACATAACTCACTCAGGATTGGACTCATTAAGACACTCGAGTCAAATAAGTTAAGCAAAGTTGAGAGCATACAATTTAAGGTACTTATACAAGAGTCAAAAACTGAGCCTAAATGTTACAACTAAAGTACTGACTATTCTTAAGGCATAACAAAGTCAAGAGATATTGCTTCAATTTATTTCTCACAAAAAAAATAAAAACTAACTATACCCGGTTCAAATAAAACCCTTGAAAAAGAACCGCGACACAAAGAAAAACCAAGGGGGAATTACTACACTACCTATAAAGAAAATCTTTTTTTCCTTTTTCTTTAGACTTAAATTCCTCAAGAAAATTGTCTAGGAGATCCATCGTCGAGACAAGTCTAAATTTTTATTTTTATTTTTGTTTTTGTTTTTTTAACAAAAATTGTACACTAAGAACGAGTACTATAACTAAGCTAAAATAGCACAGAAACTCACCCAAACAATCTCCTCACCCCACACTTAAAATTGTGTATTTTCCTCAATGCACACTATAAATAACAAGAGGGTAAAAGAGACTCTCTGGTAGGCCGAAGCAATAGAGGCTCACGAGGTACTTAGACTTCCCCCAGGTATCGTCCTTTGTGTGGCACCCCACACTTAGTTCTCACCATCTAACTCACTTTTGCACTCTTCCAATGGCTACACTTCCTATTCTTATAATCTTACAAAACAAAAACAAATACTAGAACAATAATAAGAAAAAAATAAAACTAAAAGAAAACAGTAAAAATGGGTTTCCTCCCAACAAGCGCCTGATTTAACGTCGCGGCATGACACTGCTACTCTATTTAGGCTGAGCGCTTTCTCTTCTTCTTTTTCCCATTAAGCCTAGCCTTTTTACACACTCTCAGAAGGTCTCCTCTTTCATCTATGTCTCTTTTCTCAATCACCCTTACACACTCAGCTTGCAACACCACCTCCTCCAATTCAGTTGTCCCATCCGAATCGCTACAATTCGCATAAAGACTTTGCTTTATCCCCTTCAGTTCTACCGCAGTAATCATGCACAACTCCTCATAATGCTTAGGAAGATTAAGTGCCTTGTACACATTAAAAGTGATTTCCTCATCGCCTACTCTCATCTTCAACTTCCCTTCCCTAACATCAATAAGTGCCCCACTAGTAGCTAAGAATGGTCGCCCCATAATAATAGGTACTTCCTCATATGCCTCGTAATCAAGAACAATAAAATTAGCAAGAAGAATAAACTTTCCCACTCGAACTAACACATCCTCAATAATTTCTTCTGGAATAACTAGTGATCTATCAGCCAACTGCAAAGTGATTGTAGTAGGTTTAAGCACCCCCCAATCCGAGTTGCTTGGACAAAGAGGATGGCATCAAATTTATACTAGCTCCTAAATCACACAAGGCTCTACCAACTTCTTGTTTTCCGAGAGACAGAGAAATTGTGAAACACCCAATATCCTTCAACTTAATAGGAAGTTTACTCTGAACTCTAGCACTGTACTCTTCAGTAAGTGCAACTGTTTCAAACTCTGTATGTCTTCGCTTGTTTGCCACAATGTCCCTAAGATACCTTGCATACTTAGGCACTTCCTGCAAAAATCCACCAATGGCAAATTCACACGCACTTGGCTCAAAATATCTAAGAATTTCTTGTACATAGCATCATCTTTTTGCTTTTGAAATCTTTGTGGAAACGGAGGTGGTGGCCTTGTCACAATTTTTGGCTTTTCTTTCTTATTCTCCTCAACGGGCTAAGGAACTAATTCTCCTTTAGATCTAGCTGTATACTTCTTTTTCTCTGGAACTTCTTCTAATTCTCTTCCATTTCTCAAGGTAACTGCATTGACTTGAGGATTTTTCTCTATATCACTTGGAAGGGCCCCGCAGGTC